GACTCATGTCTAAATACGGCCCCCTTTGCGGGTTCTGGGAGCTAGAGCTTGAACATATCTTTTGGGGGACACCGTTCAACCCAGTGTAAAAGCTCTGTGTGGAGCCAAGGAACTGGGATGGGGCCTGCCCTCAAGGTGTCTGCTGTGAGGCCGGCTACGCGGAAGGCAGAGGGGAACAGACTGGTTTACTCCTCTTCGGAGACATCGATAGGATGCACCCCTACAGGGGGACTTGCCGGATCGGGGCACGACTGCGCATCTGGAGTTTGGTGATGCCGGGCTGCCCTCCATGAGGCCGTGTCCACTTATTCCCACCCCCATTCGTGGATGCGTGCCCTTTCCTCCCAGAGCATGGGTCGGGTGTGGCTGGGACAGGCTGGTCCAGGTAGGGTGGTGGGCAGGCCCAGGTGTGCCTGGCTGACAGCCGTGGTTTGGCAGGGGCTGCTGCACATGACCCGGAGACTGTTCCAGATGCCTGAGGCCCTCCAGCTCCTCACTGGTGCACCGAGTCTTTCTTCTTCAGATGAGAGAGGCCCTGGCAGGTCTGAGCAGGCGGCTGGGAACTAGATTCCTGCGTAAGAAGAGGACCCTTGAGGCAGCAGGATCAGCGGGATCCAGGAGGGCGATGGGCACATGCAGAGAACTCTCCCCAACCAGGCGCCCGTGGTCAGTGCCGCTTGGCATCGTGCTTGCTCCACTGGAAGCTCTAAGAGCGAAGAGGAGAGAGAAGTACTTTTCATACCCGTGTCTGCCTTAAAAATGGGAAAACAGGGGCGCCTGGGTCGCTCGGTCAGTTACAAGTGCCCGACTCTTGATTTCAGCTCAGGTCATGATCTCACAGTTGGTGAGTTTGAGCCCCGCCATCGGGCTCTGCGCTGGTGGTGCGGAGCCTGCTTGAGATCCTGTCTCTCTCTCTCTCTGCTCCTCCCGCACTTGCTCTCTCTCTGTCTCTCAAAATAAATAAATTTAATAAACTTTAAAAAAAAAATGGGGAAACAAAAGCTTGGATGAGGGACCACATGTTCTGGCTGCCCTCACTCTGCCTGGGGGTGACCAGGCCATCGGCGGGGAGAGCCCTGGGGGGAGTGAGCTGGGGAGGAAGGCCCTAAGGGAGTGAACACCGGTGTGCCAGGGGTCTTGGAAGACAGTTGTGCCCGGCAGCTCCTGAGCAGTGGGGGCCACTTCGGGCCCAGGGGACTGAGGAGTGAGCTGGGCTCGCAGTAACTGCAGAGTGCCGGGGCAGGATCGGGTCCAGTGGAGGGAGGTTTGTGTCTGGCCAGCTGGCCTGGGGAAGTAGGTCGGTGCTTGGTGCAGGGTGGCCAGGAAGGGTGGGGGACAGCAGGTGTCCCAGTGAGCTTTCGTGCCTAAAATGTGTTGTCTGAGCTCCTGGCATTTACTTCCAATTTATGCCCAGGGTCCTGGGCCGCCGGACGCTGATGGCGTGGGGCGACTGGGGACTCACAGGGTCGCAGGTCTAGCGACTGTCTCCAGCCTCCTGTCTCGGCTGCTTCCTTATCAGTGTCTAACTCAGTGCCCGCCGGATGTGAGCACTTCCCCTTCTGCCCGTCTCCCGGGTCGTGCCGCATTGCTGTGGGTCAGCAGTGGCGGGTACAGCTGTGCTCTACAGACAGGCAGGGCGAAGGCCGAGGGGAAAGGCTGGGTTTCCCCAGCGCCCTAGAGCCCAGGGGCTCTGCTCTCCCCGGCCAGCCCATGCCTCCTGCGGCCTCTGCGGTACCTATGCCCGCAGAAGGACCAGCCTCTCTGTGGGGAAAGGAGCGTCTGTCCTTTAGTAAGTTGAAAACGATTACAAAGGAAAGAGGTTGATAACAGTAGGGTTTTTTTTTTAATGTTTACTTAAAAAATTTTTTAAATGTTTGTTTTTGAGAGAGAGAGACAGAGCGTGAGCCAGGGAGGGGCAGAGAGAGAAGAAGACACAGAATCTGAAGCAGGCTCTGGGCTCTGAGCTGTCAGCACAGAGCCCGACGCGGGGCTCAAACTCGCAAACCTTTAGATCATAACCTGAGCCAAAATTGGACGCTCAACCAACTGAGCCATCCACGCATCCCCAATAGTTTTGTTCTTTAAATTGACTACCTCTTAACTCATACTTAAAAAAAAAAACACACCAAAACTGTTAACGATGGTCACCGGGCCGGGCGTGTGCCCCCGGGACTTATTTCTCTCACAGTGGAGATTTGTGTCTTTGGACCTCGTTCAGTCTGTTCCCTCTCCTAGTTCCATTTTTGTTGACTCCACGTGTCAGGGAGATCATGACCGTAGTTGTCTTTCTGTCCCTGACTTATTTCACTCAGCATAGTGCCCTCCGGGTCCCTCTGTGTTGTCACAAATGACAGAATTTCCTTATTTTTTACTGTTGAGTAGTGTTCCACTGTATTTCCATGCCCTGCGTCAGCTTTATCCATTCATCCATCGATGTGGCAGCGCCTCGGCCGTTGTGTTGACCACTGTGCTGCACACCCATAGCTTTTCGAGCTAATGTTTGTGTTCCCTTGGGGTAAAAACCCAGAAGTGGGATTGCAGGATCATATATATCATGGTTCCGGCTTTGGTTTTCTGATGAGCCTCCGCACTGTTTCCCACACTGGCTGCACCAGTTTGCACTCTTAGCACCAGTCACCAAGAGAAGGTTCCTTTTTCTCCACATTCTCGCCAACACGGGTTCTCTCTTGTTGTTTGGATAATAGCTGTTCTAACAGTGATCTCTCATTGTGGTTTTGATACTCCTTTCCCTGACGATGAGTGGTGTTCCACACCCTTCCATGTACCTGTTGGCCATCTGTATGTCTTCTTTAGAGAAATGTCTAGTCAGTGTCCTTGCCTCTTTTTTATTTTTTATTTATTTTTTTAGGTAGGCTCCATGCCCAACGTGGGGCTTGAACTCACGACCCATGAGATCAAGAGGTGGGTGTTCCACTGACGGAGCCAGCCGGGCACCCCTCTTTGCCCATTTTAAAATTAGATTTATTTTTTTCCTGCTGTTGAATTGTGTGAACTCTGTGTATTTTGGACCTGAACCGCTTAGATACAGGATTTGCCAAGATTTTCTCCCATTCTGGGCTTTTTGGTTTTTTTTTTTTTAATTTATTTTTGAGAGAGAGAGAGAGAGACAGCGTGAGCAGGGGAGGGTCAGAGAGAGAGGGAGACACAAAATCCGAAGCAGGCTCCAGGCTCTGAACTGGCTGTCAGCATAGAGCCCGACGCGGGGCTTGAACCCACGAACCGTGAGATCATGGCCTGAGCTGAAGTCAGCCGCTTAACTGACTGAGCCACCCAGGCGCCCCAGGGCTTTTCGTTTTGTTGGTGATTTACTTTGCAGCTCAGACACTTTTTACATTGAGGCGGTCCTATATATCTACTTTTGCTTTTGTTGCCTTTGATTTTGGCGTCTGATCCAAAACGCCACCACCGAGACTGACATCAAGGAGCTTCCCGTAAGGCTGTGTTCATGGTTTCCGGTCTTACACTCATGTCCTTGTCCATTTTGAATTGACTCAAGAAAATAGTTTTAAACAAATGTCTGAGAAGCCAAGCGAAGCTTCTTTCCTGTGCCCTGGGGTTCCCCTGGCCACCATGCAGGTTACTGTGACTGCTGTCGCAAGCCGGTGAGACAGCGTGAGAAGTCCAGGTGGCCTGCTTGGGCCTCGGTTCACAGAGCCGGCTCTGCCCCAGGAGGAGAGGGTCCCGTTTGGGGTGGGCAGCAGTCTGCCGTCACCCCAGGATGTCTGTGCTCATTTGCCGAGAGCTCATTTCCAGCTCTGTCTCATGGCTTCTGACCTCCTTGGATTAGGCTGGCTAAATATTCACTCAGAGGGAAGAATAGTCCTGGGGAACGTTTATTGTACTGGGCGTGTGCCAGCACCTTGGCCGGGCTTGTTCTCTGCATTATCTCTCGCAATCTAGTCCTCCCACGGTCAAGTGCAGTGGTTCAGTTATTACGCCCATTTTAAAGACCAGGAAGTGCAGGAATGAGAGTTTGGGTGGGTCGCCCAGCTCACCCCAGCTGGGAGGAGCGGGAGCCAGGAGCGATATCGGAGTAGGTCTGACTGTAGACCGAGCTACTGAGCAGAGCTGTCAGAGCTCTGGGGCCCAGAGCCGAGGCTGCTGGCCCCGGGGGCCACGCTGGGTGAGCCTGGGTGGGTGGTGGGCACGCCGAACGTGGCATGTGCTCTCACCCATCTGTGTCTCCAGGCCCGAGGCTGGTGGCAGAGGCAGGTGTCATTAGCCTGACGGTGGTTTGGGAAAGCGCCAGCTTGGCCGGGGTGGCCGCCTCTAGGAGCACCAAGTGGGCTTCTTGGGATTCCAGAGAATTTTTGGAGCTTCCCTACCACTGGCTGCCCACAGCACGCATGCGGTTTTTCTTCTTTGGGGAAACAAGGTGGCATTTCAGTTGTCCCTGACCCTGGGGCGCTCCCAGCATTCAGCCTCAGGGAGTCAGCCCCTTCAGTCGCCCCTGAGCTCAGGGGGCGGGAGGTGACAGGTGCTCACCTGCTGACAGGAGTCTCGGGGCCCTGACTTGTTCCCGGTTCTCAGGGCAGCCGGCCCCCCTGGGACTCCTGATAGCGGTCCCGGCAACTTGTCCGCCGTCCAAGGGGTCACAGCCTGTGTCCTCGTGCTCAGTCAGCCCTGCTGGTCGTTGGGGAGCCTGGGAAGCAGGAGGGGCAGGCATGCTGGGAACTCCCAACAGCCATGCCACCACCTTGCCGCCTCTGCCAAAGGTCCCCGCTGTCACCCCTTCTCGGCTGGTGCAGGGGATGGAGTCCTGCTCTCTGCCCTCCTCCCTCCCGTGGAAACAGGACCCGGCAGCCTCTTGTCTGGGGCTGTCGGATCAGCAGCCCACCCTGACCAAACTCACAGAAAGTTCTTTTTCCTTCTTTGGAAGCCATTGGTCTCTCTGGAGGACCCTCTCACCCCGGGTTGTTGCTGTTCATGAGTGCCGTCCTTCTCAGGGGCTTCATCCTGCTTCCCTCCCCTCTGCCTAGGATCATGCGGCCGGATGATGCCAACGTGGCTGGCAATGTGCATGGCGGAACCATCCTGAAGATGATCGAGGAGGCCGGGGCCATCATCAGCACCCGGCACTGTAACAGCCAGAATGGGGTAAGTGTCTGGGGGCCGTCACACAGTCTGCATGGAAGGTTCCAGGGCCCAGGAGGCCTGGTGTCCCTCTATATGCAGCACGGCACCACTCTTGGGTTTTTCCCTCCTTCACTCCCTGGGCCTTGGGGATTTCCGGAAGTCCTGGGTGAGTTGCTTGGTTTGGGGCCCAGCGAGGGAGGACAGGGGACAGCCAGTGTGAGCTGACACCCAGCTGAGAGCTACCTTAAACTCTTCCTCTTTAAAGTCTTGGTTTTGGGCCTTCAAGGCGGGGGGTGGGGGGGCTTTGGGGCATCACCTCCTGCCATCCCTCCAGCCCCAAGGAACCCAGTATTTCTTCCAGAGGCCAGCCAGCCGCCTGGCTTGGGGAAGGGGGTCTGTGTTGCGCCACACTGCCACCTGGGGGCCAGCAGAGATGCGGCACCAGAGGAAGCCATGGCCTCTGTGTCACCCCGTGGGCCTTGGCCAGCCACCTGCCGTGTGACAGGAGGAAGGAATGCTGGCGTGGGGGAGGCGCGTGGTGGGGAATACGAGAGCAGCACTTGTGTGCGTGCGTGTAATGGGGCAGGCCGGGGTGGATGTGTTATTGGGTGGACACTGGCACCCTGTGAAGGAGGAGCTCGCCCGCCTGGCTAGGAGACTGGATTTGTTCAGGTGCCCTTGGAGTTCTGGGGCACACCCAGCCACTACCAGAGCACGCCCTCTGCTGGCCGTGGGGAGGGTGGGCCTGGGGCTGGGTGGCTGGGGGGCTGGGACAGACAGTGAGGGTCCCCGCGGCAGGCCTGGCGGGCGAGGCTGGACCCTGGAAGGAGAACCTCAGGGAGGGGGGCAGACGGGGAGGGGGGCCTTGGGAGGCCACGTGAGTGGCGAGGGTCTGTGTAACTGCTGCCAGTCAGTAAGTGCCTAATGTTTTGCAAAGCTCTGAAGTGCTTCCGCTCATGATCCTCATGACACCCCTATTACCCCCATTGCACAAGTGAGGAAGTAGAGGCACAGGGAGGGCACCTACTTTCCCGAGGCCACATGGGGAGGTACGGGGCAGGTCTGGACCATGAATCAGGCCTTGAACCTGTGCTTTGAGCCCCTGCTTCTCCTCTTGCGCTCCCTGGAGTGAGCCTGGGGGTGCAGGAGGGACAGTCGGGACCTGATGGCTTGGAGACGCCTCTGGGCTGGGGGACCAGGATGAGTGACAAGTTCCAGGCCCGGGGGGGGGGCATGTGGGCCCCAGGTGGTTGGACGCTGGCATGGGGGCTGATGCTGACCCCTGAAGGGCTTCTCTGGGGCTCTGAGTCTCCCTCGGGGAGATTTCACCCAGTTAGTGCCTTTAGTACCATCGTGTAGCCCTGGGGCTCTGTTTCCGGCCGGGGGCCTCTTGTGGTTCCACCTGGATGCTTAACTGGCCCCTTGACCTTGACGGGGCCAAAAAGACACCCTGGACCTGTCCCCAGGCCGCTCCTCCCACAGTCTCCCTCTCCTCCGTAAGCGACCTCTGGGGCATCCATCACTCACGCTCAGTGGCCCCCTTCTCACTGGCACCTCCTCCTGTTGGCTCCAGCTGCTGGCGAATTCCGGATCTGAGCACGGCTCCCGTGCCCTCCCCTCAGCTCTCCCTTGGGCCACACTGGGCCTCCTGCTGACCGGCTGGTGTGTTCTTACCCCTGGGCCTTTGCACTGCCTCTTCCCCCTGTCAGGGCTGTTCTTCCTCCAGATAGCTGTACGCCCCCCTCCCCTCCTTCCAGTCCCTGTGTAAATATGACCTCCATTCAGGCCCTCCCGGACGACCAGCCCCCACCTTGCTCCCAGCCATTTCTGGAACATTGTGTGATTTGCTCATTTATCTTTGGTCTGCTCACCCTCTTTCCCAGCCCGTTAGGGTGTAAGCCCCACGAAGGGAGGGACTTTGGTTTGGTGGGTCCCTGCTGGACGATCCGCATCTGGGCGGCGGCCTGGGACACTGTGGACCACCACGGGCCACCTGCTCATTGCCAAAAGAGCGTGTGTGGAGCGGTCATCCTCTGGAGAACCCCGTTTAATACGCACTTGTGTGCGCCAGTGACCGCGCCCTGTGCCTGACCTTCTATGGAGTCTTCCCAGCCATCTTCTCAGCCCCACTTTGTAGGTGAGGACTAGAGACCTAGAAAAGTTACAAGATCACAGAGAGCAGCGTCCTTTAACCTGGCGTCAGCTGAGGGCGGCCCGAGTGGACGTGGGGGCAGGTGTGGCTCAAACAGTGGCAGTGATAGGAGCTAACCCTTCCTGGACCCTCTCGCTCACACGTTTGATCCCCACCAGTCCCTGAGGGGTGGCTCAGCCCTCCCTCCACGTATCATCCCCTTGAATCCTGGTATCAGGCTGCCGACACCATTTATTTCTGTATTTTACAAGGCCAAGAGCTAGTGAGCGACAGAGCTGGGAGTTGAGCCCTGGGCCCAGCGCTGTTCTTTCTGGCTCTGCTTCTGAAGCTGCCGTCCTGGCCCAAAGCCCTGTGGTCACTCAGGAGCCTCCCCACCCCCTGCCCCCGTGGTTTTCTGGGCACCTGAGCTCAGCAGGCAGCGTGGTGCCAGCCGCCTTTGGGAGCATGGCAGAGGCCAACTTCCTGGGGTAGCTGCTAATCAGAAGGTTCGTGGCCACTTCCCAGGCTGGGCCGCCCCTCCTGCTCTAAGCAGGCAGCTGCAGGGGTGTGTCCGAGGCATGGGTGGCCAGCGGTGTGTGCCGTTTGGAGGACCTCAGACCCAACCCAGGTGTTCATCGGTGCGTAGTTTGAATGGGTCATACCTGTTCTTTACGGAATACTCGAGGCGGGCCCAGCACCCTGCTAGCTGCCTGGACACCAGCTCCCAGTCACGTTGCCCCTGCGTGGAGTCCGGCCTCCGGTAGAGTCCGCAAGCAGCGCACCCGTCTCTTAGGCTGCCCACCCTGCCCGGGGAAGGCTCCAGAGCGGCTGCCCCATAGACATTCGTTCTGTCCTTTAGAACCAAGCTCCAGGCCCATGAGAAGTGGCCTTCTAACCCAGGAGAGCAGCTGTGAGGCCACTGCTGGGCATCCTGCCAGGCAAGGTGCGTGTTGCCAGCATTCCTGACCCCGTGCCAGGCCTGAGGGTTCCCTGGGCCAGGTGTGTGTTGACGGCATTCCTGACCTCTCTCTGTAGCCTCCCGGGTCACTCTGCCAGTGTTCTGGCTCCTGGAGGGGAACGTAAGTGCCTCCACTAGGAGTTCGCACAGCCCTGAAGCGTGAGCCAGTCTGCTCGCCCCCTTCGCCTCTCCGTTCCTCACCTGGCCCTATAGGCCCTGCTGACCTTTGCTTGTGCCTCCTGCTGCTTCCCCCCTCCCGCCCCCACCCCTGCACAGTCCAGCCTGTCCTCCCCTCTACCTGGGGTGGACACGCCCCATATCTACCTTTCTTTCATGCCTCAGCGCCCTCTGTGGGGAGGCCGCCCCTGTCCCCAACCCCCCCCCCCCCAGAGCCCCCGCCACCGGGTGGCATTGCCCGGTTTGTCATCCGAACGGAACGCAGGCTGAGGGCAGGCGCGCCGACTCACTCTCACTCCCCGGAATGGCGCACAAGGCACCCCCCGCCCCGCCCCATCTGCGGTCCGTTACCCTGGTTTACCCATGCTCCAGAAGCAGATGACCATCACTGTGATGCTCCGTCAGACACCAGCCTAACGCTGTGTCACCTGCCCACCTCACTCACCTCCTGCATCTCGTCACACAGGCATTTTCTCATCTCACATGGTCCCTGGAAGAAACACACTAAGAGAGAGAGAGGCCATGTTCAGGTGGCTTTATTACAGCACATTGTTACAGTTGTTCTGTTTTATTAGTGTGTCGAACGTAGAACTTTATCATGGGGGTGGGGGTGGGGGAGAAGCAGTACATATAGGGTTCGGGACCACCCGCGGTGTCAGGCTTCCAGTGGGGGTCTTGGGAGGAATCCCCCGTGGACAAGGGGGGCCCTGTACTGTGGGTGACGGGATGCTTTTGTGGCCGTGAGAGAGCTCAGGTCCACTCAAGGTTTCGATGTGGACAGATGTAAGAATAGGCTGCATTTCCATTAGAAATGATGAGTCTATATGCATGTATGTTACCTGCGCGCCAGTGTGTCCGTGCCAGAGCTTACCCACTCTCCCGTGAAGGTACCCGGTTTCATTCCAATCCGGGTCTTGCAAACAGCTCCGGATAATTCCAGCACGCGGCCCAGAGGCAGGGCCTTCGCTCCTGTCCTGCTCAGCTTAGCGTGTGTCTTTCCAGCTTTCTACCAGTGGGTGGTGCTGCAGCCACAGAAGTCTACCTAGGGGCGCATGTGGTTTTCACATCCCTGTGACTTAGGGGGCGAGTGCAGATCAGAGTAGCCCCGGCTTAGCCCCAGGACCTTTCCCATCGCCCCGGCCCCTGTCTTGCTGACACCTGACTCTGGCGTTTATAGGAACAGACGCTGGAGGAACCCCGACCCCCGTGTCCCTGAGACTCGCCTGGGAGGGGTGAGGGTGGAGGTTCCCTGACCGTCCCTCCCAGGGAGGCAGGTCCTGTCTGTTTGAGGTGGGGCAGCGAGTCCGCACGCTTGCAAGGCAGCAGGTGGATTCTGGCACGGTGCCGCGAGTGGTGCCACCAGGGCTCAAAGTGACCGTCACCTGCAAGCTTAACGTCACCCGCCCTTGGACGGGGGTCCCTGTGAGGGGTAACTGGGAAGGCGAGTACCAGCGCCTGCAGGCCCCGCTGGCCAGGCTCTCAAAAGTGAGCCCCATCGCCCCCTCCCTGCCCCCCGCCCAGCCTGGGGGCAGCCACACCTGTGCTCCGCGTTCTGGAAGAGACGCTTGGTTTCTGGCAGGAAGTGGGAGAGGTGCTCGGTGAGGGTCTGAAGTCCCCCTCTTCTGACACCGGCACAGACGAGAAGTAAGTGGTTCTCCGCACGAGCACTGGGAGGCGCCACGGCCGCGTCACACGCTGCTGTCCTTTTGGGAGGAGCTCTGGGAACACGCACCAGAGTGTGTGTCCCTTCGGCCTGGGCCACAGTCCCCGGTGCTGAAAAACACCTAAGTGAATCCATCACGGGATCATTTCTAAAAAGAAATAATTGGGGGGGGGGTGCGCCTGGGTAGCTCCAGTCAGTTAAATGTCTCATGATTTTGGCTCAGGTCGTGATCTCTCGGTTCGCAACTTTGAGCCCCACAGAGCCTATTTGGGATTCTCTCTCTTTCCCTCTCTTTCTGCCCCTCCCCACTTGTGATCTCTCTCTTTTTCTCTCCTCTCTCTCTCTCAAAATAAATAAACAGGGGCGCCTGTGTGGCTCAGTCGGTTGAGCGTCCGACTTCAGGTCATGATCTCACAGTTCGTGGGTTCGAGCCCCGCCTCGGGCTCTTGCTGATAGCTCAGAGCCTGGAGCCCGTTTCAGATTCTGTGTCTCCCCCTCTGTCTCTGACCCTCCCCTGCTCATGCTGTCTCTCTCTCTCTCAGAAATAAATAAAACGTTAAAAAACAAATAAATAAGCTTTAAAAAAATAAATAAAAACTTCATTGGAGAAGAGTGAATAAAAAAACAACAACAAACAATTGGTGTTGACCCATATCTCTAACAGAGGAATATTCCATTCTCTCTGCCCATACCCATACTTTGCAGCGGCGTGAAACGTCAATCACAGGCCGCGTGCCGCGCGCAAGAAGGAGCAAGTCTGTCACGTCTGGCAGAGAGCGAGCCCACAGTAGTCTGTGTGTGCCCTGCAGATGGCACTCCAGGCGTGGGTGTCTTCCGTGGCCGCGCCGATCCGTTACCGTGGGATGCCCTGGGTGGCTGGGGACGGGGGACGTGAGGCTGACCTGGTGCCCCGTGTACCCTTCGGAATTTTGAGTCCTGCGAAGGGGTTGCCTGTGTGAAGGATAAATAAACCTTAACTAAGAGAACAGTGCTTGCAGGGCCCTGGTTGTAATGCAGCCAGCTTATTCTCCCGAGTGTTGAGTGAGAATAAGGGCACTTTGCGGACACGTCTCTCTGTTTTCGCGTGTCTGTAGGAGGCTAACAGCACGTGAGCCAGTAAGGGCCCATTCTTAGGGAGAAGAGCCTTTCCATCCTCAAAATAGAAAGCTGGGTTCTCTTCAGATGGGAGGAGCGATTTCCCCTCTTCTGTCTACCTCTCCGTATTTCCTAAACGTTCCAAGATGAGTATATCTTTTTTTTTTTACCTTTCATTATGCAAGTAACAGACGTCTTTTGTAGAAAGTTTAGAAAAAAGAAAGACGCCACTTGTAGCCGTGGCCGCTCAGAGAATCCCATTAGCGATCGTGTCGAGAGTGTCTGTTCCCACCGGGCATTCCCGCGTCCCCTGTGGTTTTGCAATCAGGAAAGTGTGGTGTCGGAAAATGGCATCGCTTTCCCAGTGGGAAGGAAGGAAGGCGAAGTCAGGAGCCCCTCCAGGGGCAGGGCCTGCCCTGCGGGTGACCGGGTGACCCGTCTCTGGTCTCTCTGCAGGAGCGCTGCGTGGCTGCCCTGGCCCGGGTCGAGCGCACGGACTTCCTGTCGCCCATGTGCATCGGCGAGGTGGCGCATGTCAGTGCGGAGATCACCTACACCTCCAAGCATTCCGTGGAAGTCCAGGTCGACGTGATGTCTGAAAACATCCTCACAGGTAACTTGCACATCACGTCTCCCCGACGACGGTACGTAGGTGGCCGCAGCTCATGTGACCCGGCACCAGGGGCCGGTCCTGAAGCTGTCTGTGAATGACCTCCCTGAATTCTCAGCCCACCTGTGGGCAGGCACTTCTGCCATCCTCGTTTCGCAGACAGAGCCGAGTTATAAGCAGCGAGCCCAAGAGCACGTGCCTGGAGCAGGATTCCAGCCCCGGCCCTGCGGGGGCAGCCACTGGCCATCCTGCCTTCCCGGCCTGGTGGCCTGGCGACCGGCCCCTCCGGGGCAGGGGGCTGGGAGGGCACGAGCCACCCACCTGGGGTCCCTGGGGTCGCCCCCCACCCCCTTCCTGGGCCTTCCCTGTAAGGGGGAGTGTCCTGCGCCACCCCCACCCCTGCATACCAGCCTTAGGCCGAAAGCTCACTGGGCGAACCTTTGACTCCGGTTTGATCTGAATATTCTCTTTCTCAGGGTGGTAACCATGGAAACCCTTTTCATCCTCTGCAGGGGAGCGTGGCTCTGGTTTGCAGTCGCTGCTGCTTTTTATAACCAGGCTGCTGAGAGGAGGGCAGGCCCCTTTGTCCATCGCTGTCCCCGCCCTGGCCCAGACCACCCTGTCCTCCCGCGCAGAGGACAGTCCGTGCAGCTTGTGGAGGCAGGAGCTGCCTGGGCCCTGATGCCCCCTCGCCCCTTCTCCCCCCTCGCCCCTTCCTCAGCCGGGGTCACCTGCCGGGTGCTGTGCTCAGAGCACTTTAAGGGGCTTAAGGGGCTCAGGCGTCCCCTCCCCCTGGGCCTGGAGCGCCCCGGTGACCCCAGCAGGCCCAGCCACGGCCCAGGGCACGGTTCAGCGCCAGGCCTGGGGTCGGGGAGCGGCCAGCACCCTGCGCCCCGTGTTTGTGGCCCAGGCCCTGTTGCAGCTCTGGCACAGGGGGACCTTGGATGCCTCAGGCGGTGGCACAGAAAGGGGTTCCTGGTACTGTCTTCTCACAGCGGGGCCTTGGGGTCCCCGTGCTCTCTCGCTGTGGCCCGTCCCTCTGTGGCCCAGGCCGCCTCTCCTGGGCGGTGGCTGGCATCGTCGGGGGCCATCCCAGCAGTGCTGCTGCTCAGCGTGGCACGGAATCAGTGACCAAAAATGGGGCAGGGGCGTGCCTTCCACGTTTCTGTCATCGAAGCCCCTCTTCTGGCGTGTCCCAAACTGGGCCCAAGAGGAGCCCCTGAGGAACAGAATTGATGTTGGCGAACGGGGGAGAGGCCAGGGGCCAGGGGCGTTCTTGACTTCGGAAGTGGAGCTCAGCTCCATGGCAGCGGACCCCCGGCCCGGCGCCCCTCATGCCCCAGGTGTCGGTAGTCACAGTCGGCCCGAGGCTGCGGGCATCCAGCGCGAGGAGGCCAGGGGTTCACGGGACGGTCCCCACCACGAAGGCTTGTCCTTGCGCCAAGGTAGAGAAACTCAGCCCTGGATCGAGAACTTCCGAGGGAAACGGTCCTGTCTTCCCCCCTCCCGGGCCGCTTTCCTCGGCCCCAAGCAAACGTGGGGGGGTGGGGGATGATGGCGCGGACGAGCCACCAAACCGGCAGAGGCTGCGGGGAGATGTGCGGTTCTGTGCGGAGACGGGAGGCTGACGGAGGGTTCTGTCTGGAACGACACGCTCTGCCTGACTTCCGAGGGATCCCCCCGTGGTGGGGGCTGGAGGCGCTCACCCGGGCCGTGTCGGTGGGAGAGCAGCCCCTACCCCCCCGCCAGCGAGAATGCGCCTCCCCCGGGCTCCGGGCCCCCTCAGCCTCAGCCCTGCTCCTTCCCTGCAGGGTGGGCACTCGGAGCCTCATCTGCCCTGTGCCGGAGGAAACCGGCGGCAAGGAGAGGGGGGCAGGTGTCCACCTTGCGGGACGGAGGGACGGGCTTTGTGACCCCCCCCCCATGCTCTGCAAAGACAGAGCCTTGGGAGAAGCGAGTGACGGGCCCCTGACCCGGGTGTCCCCCCCGGCTGACCTCAGGCCTCCCCTGTAACACGGGAAGGGGGCAGTCACACCCGGAGCCCTGAGGCCGTGGCTTCTCTGCACGGCTTGGTCACCTTGCCTCCCAGCCTCCTGCCGAAGGACCAGCTGCCTCCAGACTGCGGATCTCTTTCTCGTTTCTTTTCTTTTTTTTTCTTTGAATGTTTATTTATTTTTGAGAGAGAGAGCGAGTGCGCACACACAAGCAGAGGAGGGGCAGAGAGAGGGAGACACCAAATTCGAAGCAGGCTGCGTGCTCTGAGCTGTCAGCATAGAGCCTGATGCAGGACTTGAACCCACAAACCGCGAGCTCCTAACCTGAGCTTAAGTTGGGCGCTCAACCGACGTAGCCACCCAGGCGCCCCCCTCTCTCACTTTTCTCTTTCTCCAGTTGCCACGTCTATGCATCTCTCTCTCTGTCTTTCCGCGTTTGGATCCGTGCGAATCTCTCTTATTCTGGGACCCTGTGTCTCCCCAGGCCTCCCGCTCTGTCCTGACGTGTGTCTGTCTGCCCACGTGTCCAGGAGGGGAGGGCAGGTCTGCGGCCGCTTGTCCGTGCCAGGTCCGTGCCCGCCCCCCACCGCCTGCAGCCGTGTCTGGCCCGGCAGAGCCGGGGTGACTCTGATGGCAAGGAGGGACCTGAGACCCCAGCAGGCAGGGGCCCCCCGTCCTGTGTGTCCCCCTCCTCCGGGGCTGGGCGGCCCATCAGGAGGCAGCCGAGCGAGCACTCGCCGAGCAGACAGCCAGCAAGCTTTTGCCTCCGAGTCGGCTCATTCATCTCCGGCAACTGTCAAAATATTAAGCTAACTGGGATGTGATTGTTGCCAATTGCTCCAGAAAATAGCTGGGAGCCCTTAAGATTTTAAAATAGGTGTGTTTAATGCTGCAATTGTCTTTTGATGGTTTTATTAAATGATGGCGGAAGTACAATTAGCATGTTTTGCCTCCTTAGCCCTGCAGTGTTCATTTAGGTCCGGAGGAGGGCCGCTGCGGGTTTCCATGGAAACCAGCTTGTCAGGCCGGCTCTGGCGGAGTCAGACAGGAAATCTTTATTCCCCAAAGCAGGTTGTCAGATTTGCTCTCGGTCAAAGTGCAGTGAAAATAGTTTCCGTGTTATTTGCCTGCGGTTCCCAAGCCCGGGGAGCCTGTGGTCCTGGTGGAGCCGTCGTGTCGGGGCCAGGGACCCCGCCCCCTGGGCACCGCGGGCTCGCCCTCCTCCTACGGGAGCATGGGGCTCCGCGTGGTCCTGACGGCTGTGTTTAGGGGAGGGGGCCTGAGCCCCCCACCCCTTGGGACAGACAGAGCTGACAGGACGGGGCTCCGCTGTCCTCCTCTCGATGCTGCGGATCTTCCCTGTTGAGAAGCTGCATTTTGAAGGCATCCTTGCAAATATTTCCCTGAAATTACTGGGACCCCGGAGGCCTGCCTGGGTCTATACTCAGAGTGGTACCGAGTTGCTGTGTGACCCTAGGTAAATCCCTTGACCTCTCTGGGCTCCAGGTTCCTCCGATACAGGTGAGGGGGAGTGGACTAAGTGCTTCTGGTCTTTTCTGGCCCAGGGTTCTCAGCCCAGTCAGGCCTCTCTGATAGCCCCTATTTCCTATCATTCAGCCCAGAGCGGGAGTCAGGGGCCCACTGCCGTCTCTCAGCACTCTACTCTGAAGCTTCTGGATGGGAGCTGAGTTGGCAGTGAATCCAAGCGTCAGGTGTGAAGCCATCCACCTTGAAGGACGGGCCTCCCTCCGCTGGCCATGCACCTGTGCTGAGGTCTGCGGCCTGGCCAGGCCCCCCACCCCCGGGCTGCCTGCATGTGCTGTGGCTCTGTGACTCCCTGAGCCTCACACCCACGTGCCACTGTCCTTCTGGCCCCCATGTGGCGCGAGCTCTTCTCAGCGCTGCTCAGGCAGGTGGACGTGCCCCGAGGAGCACTGTGGCACGAAGCTTCTCCGCAGAGCGTGCTTGACTGGAAGTTCAGGGTCTGCTGGACCTGTTTGCCGGAACTCTAGCTCAGCCTGGGCTTTGTCCCCTGGCTTTGTCCCCTCTTCTCTGGGAGGTGGCCGAGTGAGGGCCCCACCCGACGCTGCTCAGGCTTCTGGGCGTGTTGGGGACCAAACTTCCCTTCCGTCAAGTGCCCGCAAGGAGGCAGTGGCTGCCCGTGGAGCCCTCTGTGTTGGCAGATGCTGGCAGGCTGGGCCCCCCAGGCTGAAGGTATGTGATCTGAAGCTTCCGGCATCTTCCAGAGGGGCAGCATTGTGGTGGCAGTGGCCGGGGCTCCCTGTGCTCCAGGCCCACGCTCTCACCTTGTGGCTAAATGAGGCCTTGAGCAGGTGTGCGTGGCTCAGGCGGTTGGGCGTCTGACTTCAGCTCAGGTCACGATCGTGTAGTTCGTGGGTTCGAGCCCCGCATCAGGCTCTGTGCTAACAGCTCGGAGCCTGGAGCTGCTTCAGATTCTGTGTCTCCCTCTCTTTCAGCCTCTCGCCCGCGTGTGCTCCTTCTCTCTCAAAAATAAATAAAGACATTTAAAAAATTTCAAAAAGGCCTCGGGGATGGGGGGCCAGAGAGGTGTGTTTCAGCCCCTCCCGCCCTGTGCCCTGCACTCCCTGTGGCCTTCCTGTGTCATCACTCACGTGTTTTTCCCTGAAGGTACTAAAAAGCTGACCAACAAGGCCACCCTGTGGTACGTGCCCCTGTTATTGAAGAACGTGGACAAGGTCCTGGAGGTGCCCCCAGTCGTGGTAAGGAGACCACCTCGCCACTTCTCTCTGGGGGCAGATGGTGGAGGCCTGGTCACCGGCTACATAGACGTCTCAGGAGACCAGCAGCAGGGGCGGGGTGCCCGGCTGACCAGCAAGAGATGGCGGTGGTGGGGGGTGTCCCTGTCTGGAACGTGTGTGAAGCCTGGCCCCGGGCTGGCGGATGTCCTTCCTGGAGGACCCTTCCCCGTGCCCCCGACCCGGGGAGCGGTGGGGGCAGGCCCGTGTCGGGTGACGGGTCCTTCAGCCTGGGCCAGGACCCCCAGGCTGCCCGGCCCAGGCCAGCCGCTCCCCGCCGTGGTCCCCGAGGAAACGGGCGCTGAGACGTCTCTTTTTCAGCCTCCTCACCTCCACTCGCCCCTGTGGGCGCCTGCCACTGTCCTCACTTCTGTGGTCGTGACTTTGCTGCGACAGAAGTGTCTTTGCGTGGAGGCGGCCCATTGCATTTGGGTTGTTTCTGGGCCCACCGTGGGCACCCTGCGGTGGGCAGGCTTTTGGAGGGTGAACGTTGTGCCCGTGAAGGATTTAGTTCCTTCCCTGGGGTGGCCCCTTGCCTCCCCCTGTGACGCCCAAGGCCCTTCGCGTTTCCAGGACACGCCTGGCATCTCCTCTGTGGACGCCCACAGCACTGGGTCCTCACATCCACGCTGTTCTCACAGGGAGGTGTCCCGGGGCCGCAGCTCGCGTTTTCCTGCCATCCTCACACACAGAGAGCATCTGTAATTTTGAAAGAGAGAGAGCATCAGTGTGCACATGAGCAGGGAGGGTCAGAGACCGGGGGTGGGGGGGGGGGAGACTCCCAAGCAGGCTCTGAACTGACAGCGTGCAGCCGAGCCTCATACCTTGTCTCGATCTCACGAACCATGAGATCATGCGTGACCTGAGCTGAAATCAAGAGTCTGATGCTTTGCCGACCGAGCCCCCCAGGCGCCCCAGAGGACACATTTTTTTTAAATAATGAAACGGGGAACCGGACAGGTGGGGACTGGTGCTTTTGGGTTTTTTTGCTCATAGAGAAGCTGGGTGATCCGGGCCCCAGCCGTCCCCGCCCTGCTCCTGGGGACTCCCTGGTGCAGGCCCTTCCCGCCTCGGGGAGACCTGCTCTGTCTCCCCTGCAGGCCTTCTCACTCCCCGCACCCCTGCAGGGGTAAGGCTGGCCTCCCGCCCTCTGCCCACCAGCTCACTCTCTGACCGCACACCCCGTCTGGGCCCCTGGGGGCAGTCCAGGCCCAGGTGGCACATGTCCCCACGTGGGGACGGCAGGCTGCCGGCCTCTAGCTGCCCTGTAGTCTAGAGTTTTAAAAAGAGCTCTCGGCACAGGGGAGCCCTCTCCCCATTGAACAGGAGGGGCGCTGAGACCTTGGCCTAGGTCAGGGTGGTGGCCAGTCCTTTGGAACCGTGAGACAAGGGAGGCAGTGCTTCCCCCCCCATACAATCGAGGAGAGCGGCTGGACACTCGGGGCCGGGGCGGGGCCCCCCACGGCTCCTACTGGTCATGTCTGTGTGAGTGTCCTGGGGCCGCTGGCACGGAAGCCCCAGGGAGGATCTTCTGCCTCTTCCAGCCTCTGGTGGCTGCGGGCACTCCTTGGCTGGTGGGCCCACCCTTCCGCTCTGCCTCTGCCTTCCCGCCTGGGTGTGTGTGTGCACCCCGGACACGTGGCCCAGCCATGGCACTGGGGACCACTGTGCAGAAGCATTTCCTCACCCCAGCTGGTCACACCCGCGCAGACCCCTGTGCTGTGAGAGGTCACCTGCACCCGTCCCTTGCGGGCAGGAACTTTGACGGGACCCTGTTGGAGCCTAAGCACCGCCCTTCAGTCCAGCCCCGCCCCACCGCCTCTCCCCCTCCTCCCCTGTCTCTCCCCTCCCTGCAGCACTCACTGGGGGGGCTTTAAGACCCAAGAAGCAGGAGTAAGCCTGAGGCACAGCGACTTTTTTTCTCTAGAAATTAACAGGCCTACCTGCCTCTGCCTTCTTCGTTCCCACTAAGCACTTGGCGTTAAATTAGCCAGTTCCGCGTGTAAATACAACATAATTACTTAACTGATTTAATGTTCAGATGCCACAAAATGTAGAAGTCCCCTGCAGGCCGTTTCTGTGGCTTCAGCGCCATCTGATACGTGTTGCGGGGTTGATACTGAAGGAAGATTCCGGGGCTGAGCACATGAGCTTCTGCTTCCTCTGGCTCCTCAGGGGGTGGGGGCTGAGAGCTTTGGGTCTTCAGCCAGCAGGGCTGGGGCTGGCGGTATGCTGGTTCCGGTCCCCCCCACGGGGCCAGGGCAGCTCCTCCCCAGGGAGCACTCACCCCCACATCCCGGAGGGGCCCAGAGCTTTCCTTTCCCCTTTGTTCAGCTGCCTTTGATAAGACAGAAATACCAAGTTTGCCCTTGTAGAGGCGGAAGCGTAGAGTTCTCCAGATGGAAGAAGCCCCCCGGCTCCCAGCTGCAGCCGTTGCTAATATTTACAGGAGCTTTTCTCCCCCGACGGCCGAGGCCCACAGAGAAGCCTTCAGATGATTTGAGATATAGGTCTGCTGTTTTCATTGTCCCGATTGATCCTGGAAAGCTCCGCGTCTCACAGGCGTTTGTGCTTATCCGCTGGTAGCTTGGCCACAAGGCTAATATCCCCCAGAATCTTCCTGTCAGCCTCTGACAGACAGCTGTCACTTATCTGAGAACACACGCATCTCTGTCTGGGAGCGTGTGTATTACACATCTCTCCACGTGTATACACATGTTTCACGGGTATATATGTGATACATATATCGCGTGTATGTCACACTCCCCTCACAGAGACACGTAGATGTCACACACACACACCCCCCTCAGAACACACACTTGTGCATGCTTGTGGGTTTACTGTATGTGCCCGCTTCACTGGAAGGAGCCCGGCCACTGACCGTGTGCGGCGTTAATGAACTCCACCTTCCTCCCCAGGGAACAGGGACCCCAGTATCCCTGTGATGGGAGAAAGAGCCCTGCGGTGGCCAGGGGGGCAGCACGGCCCTGGAGAGACCTGGTGGCCATTGGGGGGTGGACACTTGGGACTTTTTTCAGTGTCCGAATGTGCGCTTGAGCTGACTCCTGCTTCCCATCGGCCGGGCTTGACGAGCCCTTGGGGATGAGGGTGGGCTACCAGCCCATCACCGGGATGCTCTAGTGAGTTTATCCCCGGATTTAAAACCAGCAGGGCAGGGGCACCTGGGTGGCTTGTCGGTTAAGCATCCGACTTTGGCTCAGGTCATGATCAGGTTCGTGGGTTTGAGCCCCGCATCGGGCTCTGTGCTGACAGCTCAGAGCCTGGAGCCTGCTTGGGATTCTGTGTCTCCCTCCCCTGCTCACGCTTTGTCTGTCTTTCTTTCTCAAAAATAAATGTTAAAAAAAATTTATTTAAAGCCAGCAAGGCAACAGTTGTGAGGGGGCCCTGCCTTTGTGGCTCAGGTTCAAATGGGGCCCCATCAGGCCCCACGTGGCTGCACACAGCAAGGATTTATTAGGCCAGGGTGGGGGGAGGGGGTGGCTCTTTCTTTAAAAATCTCTTTAAAAGGCATTTCTTGAGGACAGTTGAGTTCAGCCGTGAATTTTACCCGATAGGCACAGCACAGACTCTGCTCTTAAGGTCTTTTCTCAGGACAGTGGGATGGGAAGCGACGGTTTATTTATGGAGGAAAAGGGTCAATTATCCACTGCAACTTAAACACTCGGGGCTTGTTTCTTTTGAACAAACCACTTGGCTCCTTTCTCAGCCTCCTCTGGATACGGGTTCTCTGAGCCTTGGATAACGGTAATTAAGCCGCAGAATGGTGTTCAGACCCTGTGCGATTTGGAGCAGAGCCACGAGCAGGAAGATCAGGACGTTTAAAACCGGCTTTTGAAAGAAGGTCTAAAATTGCAAGCTGAAATGAATTTGCCTAAATCAGAGAGGCTTCATCAGGGGACAGAGAGGGGAACAAGGGGCCCTGAGCTTAGTGGCTACTCCAGGGCTCAGCCAGAAATGCCACGGCCGAGTGAACAAAGGGGCAGACGTTAGAACCAACCAGAAGAAGATGGCTGGGCCACTGTCAGCACAGACGGCCTGGGCCCTGGGAGCAGGAAGGGAGAGGGCCCCTGGGGGAAGGTGGCCGTCAGAGGGTCCCACGGAGGGGGGGGGGTGTGTGTACCCTGCACTGGGCCAGAGGATGGGGCCCGTGCTGTCACGTCAGAGAAACCCAGCATCTCCCACTATGCCCAAGGAACCCCAATTTTTGTGCCAGTTTTTGTCTGTTTGTGCTTATTCTTAACTTCTTGGGCCCAAACCCCTGTGATCCATTAAGAAAACCCCAGTGGGGCTGTCTTAGCTTTGGGGGGGCGCTCCTTGCAGACATGCAGCCTGTTGAACAGGCTAGGGGTCAGCAGAGCCACGACGTCAAGGGCCCACAGGAAACCTGCTGTCTCCTCACCGTGTTGGGGCTCCCTGGACGCTGTAGCTCTGGGTCCAGGAATGAATCCCAGGAAGGGAAGGCCAGGTGTGAAGTAAGCTACTGATTGGTGGTGTGACGCTGCTTTACAGGGACACGCTGGGGCAGGCTGAACGCGCACTTGTAGGTACCTGGTCTCTTCTGAGTCAGGTTAAATTATTAAGTTCCGCTAAAGCAGTGAGAGGACAAACCATGGCTACTTTGAAACCTCCCACGGGGGCATCAGGGTGGCTCCGTCAGTTGAGTGTCGGAACCTTGGACTCTTGGTTTTGGCTCAGGGCACGATCTCATGGCTGGGAGTTGGAGCCCCGCGCTGGGCTCCCTGCTGACAGCGTGGGCTGCTTGGGATTCTCTGTCCCCCTCGCTCTCTGCCCTCCCCCGCTTGCTCTCTCTCACTTTCTCAAAATAAACATTTTTTTAAAAGTATACAGTTTAAAAAAAGACTTTTCTCGCATGGCATGGTAGAGCTTTCTGTACACACATGGGCGTAAAAACAATTCTAGGAAGCACATGAAACATTTGACTTGGGTGGTCGCTAGGGCATGAGATTTCCACCTTCCCTGTGCTTTGCTGTTTATATTAAACATATATTATTAGAAAAACGGTAGATGGCTTCCAGTTACATAAATGTAGGCCGCCCGAGGAAGCCTTGAGCCCGGCGGCTGAGCCGGGCCTGGCCGGGGAGGCCGATGGGAGGGAGGCCGGGCTCGCGGCCGCCGGCCTGACCGCTGTCCGCGCGTCTCGGCAGTATTCCCGGCAGGAGCAGGAAGAAGAAGGCCGGAAGCGGTACGAGGCCCAGAAGCTGGAGCGCATGGAGACCAAGTGGAGGAACGGGGACATCGTCCAGCCCGTCCTGAACCCAGGTGAGGCTGGGGGGGGGGGCGGGGCTCACGCCAGCCGGTGTGGGACGTGGCCAGCTCGGGAACATTCTCCTCTGGAGGCCAGTGCAGCCCCGCTGTCTCCTGCACCAGGCCCCTGTCCGTGCAGCATACAGCCCTCTCCCCAGCAGCACAGTCCGCAGTGAGGGGACGGGAGGGCTCAGGGCAGGTGGGGGGCTTTAGGAAAAGGCCCAAACTCGGCGCCGAGGGGATCCGGACAGAGAAGCTGGAGTGGGCTGAAGGCAGGCCTCCCCGAAGACCTGTCCGTGTCGTGTCGGGACCCTTACTTGCAGAACGGTTTGCAGGTGTAGTCGAGGGAAGGACCTCAGGGTCCTGCGTTACCCAGGTGGGCCCCACGCCCAGTCATCATCAGTGTTCTTTCTTGTTTCTGTTTTTTAGAGAGAGAGTGTGCACGAGGGAGGGGCAGAGGGAGGAAGAGAGAGAATCTTAAGCAGGCTCCATGCTCAGCACGGAGCCCGACATGGGGCTCGATCTCCCAAACTGTGAGATCATGACCTGCGTCAGAGTCAAGAGTTGGATGCTCAACTGACTGAGCCACCCAGGTGCCCCGTGACCAGTGTTCTCATTAGACCGGAAGGGGACACGGTGCCAGGCCGGCAGCAGCAAGGGCGGGGCTGGGGGGAGTGGGGGCGGCACGTGGAGCTGCTTGGGCACTCCCTTCCGTGGGACATTTCCGGCGAGTGCTTGGAGTGGAAGCTGGGGTGAGGGCTGGGGCTTTGAGATCCTGAGGTCAGTCCTGGTTTCCTCCTTTGACTGTCTGGGAAACCGAATATAAATCTCACGTTTTCCAGCTTAAAGTCCCTTTGCGCACGGGGTTATTTTCTGTTCGCTCTGGTGTTTGACGATAAATCTGGCACATGTTTCTCAGAATCTATTACTCTCCAAAGATATTAGCCAGTGGTGGCCTTCTGAATCTCGAGATTTCTTGGTAGATTTTTACAAGCTTTTAGTTTGTACCTCTCTGCGTTCCAGTAAAAATGCATCTTTCTCAGATGACTGGCTTCGGGACTGGCTTTTAAATGCTTCTTAAGGAAGTCATGTGTCCGTTCCTTGGTGTTTTGAACGTTGTCTGCACTTCTGACTCCAGTCTCCTGGTAGAGCTGGCCTCGGCCCAACAAGGCTCCCAGTGCCCGGAGCAGGACAGGCTCCCCGGGCCCGGCCACCGCCTCCCGCGTGGCTCTGTACAGGCTGCGTTTGGTGCTGTTCTTGACCCAGCAGGTCAGGAGCTCCGCGGGAAGGGCCGAGCGTGTGTTTAGCCCTGGGGATCTTTCCAGCACTCGAGCCCCTTCCTGTGGGAGGACCCCCCGCCGCCCTACATATCTGCGGCTATCTGTCACTGTTGAGAGCAGAACCAGATTTCAGCCGGCTGTTGCCTAGCAACCGCCTCGCGGGGCTGACCTCATCCTTGAGATGCCTTTTCAGAGAGTCTGGGAGTTCTTTAAAACCCAGCTTTTCTTCTTACTGTTTTCTCCATCTGACGAGAGAAAATACAATTACCTTGAACTCGTCGGTCCAGGGCCATCAGATGTCCAGCTTTGACCATGTAGGGACTGTTTGGCCATCTGGAGCCTTTGCGGGGGGACTGTCAGGTTTATGACACAGTCAGCCTGCCTCCGGTTGTTGGCCTAGGCCCAGGCTCTCTTCCCTGTGGCTAGCCTGTGACCGGCCACCCCAGTGGGCACATCGTCTCCGAGCCGTCCATGAGAGTGCGGGTGCCTGTCGCGGGCCTTCCTGGACCTCACCAGGCCCCACCACCCTGCACCCACGAGCACTTGCTCTGGGGAGGGAGCGAGGTGTGGGGAGGCAGGGGCCAGGCAGCGAGGGAAAGATCGCCTAGAGTCAGACCGCCCCAGTCTGAATCCCGCCTCTGCCTCATGGGAGCTTAGTCTCTCTGGGCCTCTGTTTCCTTGGCTGGAGACACAATCGAGGGGAATTTGTGTTTGTTTATGACCGTCTTGATCCTCTCCTGTCGCTGCCTTGGGGACCTCCCTCAGGTTCTGGATGTCATCGTAAATTGAGGTTCAAACATTAGGTTCTGTATCAGCCAAAGTCAGGGTAGCTGCTGAACCTGAAAGTCCTAGTGCCTGACTTACTAGAGGTTTATTTCCTGTAAAGTCCAAACAGGGTGTTCTAATTAGGGGGTGTCCTGCAGATGGTGTGGACTCCGTCTTGGGGCTCTGCATCTTCAACAGGTAGCTTCTGGGGTTCTCTCAGAAGGGGAGAGAGCAGGGAGGCTCACACATCCGGGGTTTGGACAGGTTGGGCCGGGAAGCAGCAAGGAGCACTTCTGCTCACACCCGTTTGGGCAGGAAGGCAGCCTGCGGAGGGGGCTGTGCGCGGAGAAGGCGAGGAGGAGGGGCTGTCCCATCCCGCCTGCCGGACACCAGGTCCCGTTTCACTCCTCTGCGCGTGTGGGTCACCTCCCCCGGAATCCTGTCCAGCCCCTGCCTGGCGTCAGACAGCAGTGTCTTTGGGGGCCGGGGGGGGCCGGTGAACTAACGATGGACCCCTTGCTCTGGCACTGTCTACACAGAGGCGGGATGGCACATGAGAGATGAGGGGCAGACGCGCCCGCCTGTTCGCAGGGCTGACGTGCTGGCAGGAGGGGAGGGCCTGCGGGAGACCCTGGTGCCGCTCTCGGGGTGGCGGTGGGTCCTCTCTGTCCCTTGCAGCTGTCTGGAAGGGTCTTCCGTGTCCACTGTCCTCCTCAGCCTCGCTGGAGTGGGCCCCTGCTCGTCTGCGATTGGGAACGTCAGAGGTTGTCCCTCCTGAATTTAGTGGTCTCCGGGTCTTTTGACTTCCTGTCAGCTGCTTGTGACAGTCACGCTGAACATCCTTTCCAGGCACGCTTCTCAAGCCTTCTCAGTGGCTTCCTTGACACTGCCTCGTGGGCACATTCGTGGGCTGAGTGGTGCTGGACCGTGTTCTCTGTGCCCCTCAGTCCCCAGAAGCAATAGGCTTTTGCCACCTTTTGATGCCCCAGGTTTCTGGGCTCCATTCAGTCTCAATTCTGCTTCCAAACTGGCTGTGTCTTTCTTGAGCTCATTTCTTTCTTTCCCTTCTCAGAGCAGGGCCGTCCCAACTGTCTTCTGCCGTTTCCCCTGCTGCTGTGCGCCAGACGTGTATCTTCAGGTTGATAGACAGTGCCCTTGACTCTCAAAATAAAGGGTTTCCATTGGGTGGGGCCCCAATCCTGGTGCCCATTTCTGTGTTCATTAAGGCAGCATCAGCAGCAGTAACAGACGGCCCTCGTCTCTGCGGCTCCACCTTGCACTTGGCAGAAGTTTTTTCAGTATGTGTCACTGTGATTCACTGAAGCGCAGGACATGAGGTGATAGCCAAGTTCACGGCCGAAGGAAGCAGGACTGGGGTGTGGCCGGGTGGGTGTGTTGTTTCCCCATCAGAATTGTAGTGCTTTCACTTATTAAAAGCTGCTCAGATCAATTTCTGAGAACAGTAAATTATTAGACACGGCCTAATTGATACTTCTGAACACTATTAGAGAACAGTGGGGGTATCTCTTTGATGAGGTCGTGATGATTATTCAAATTTTTTTAATGTTTATTTATTTTTGACACATAGAGCACGAGCTGGGGAGGGGCAGAGAGAGAGGGAGGCACAGAGCCCGACGTGGGGCTCAAACCCACAGACCGAGAGATCGTGACCTGAGCCGAAGTCTGACACTTAACCGACTGAGCCCCCCAGACGCCCCATTGTGATTGCTATTCAAATGGCTTGTCATTTGAATCAATAGACACCTGAAACTGACAAAGATATTTGTGTGCAGTTTTCCCTGGTTTGATCTTCTAAAGATTTCATCAGTATCCACCTGTAGATCTCTTTGCTGCTCAAAGCAGCTCCTGAGATTGGGCCAGATTTGAGACCGTTGGTTTTCATCTGTGCTACAAGAGTGACTTTCGTGTCTCTTGTGAGTAGGACACGCACGTAGGCAGCGGGGTGTGCCCCTCGGTTCCTGGGGCCTTTCCGCCATCTGCCCGCGTGCTTTGCAGAGGCAGGACCTGAGGGAGACAGTCTTCGAGATCGGTGTGTTGTGGACTGGACGGTGCTGGGGGGAGGGGGGGGTCTCTGACAGGCAAGGAGAGGGTCTTCATCACTGTGCCTTGTGGCTCCTCTGGCTGTCCCCTGGCAGGAAGGGTCCAGCTGTCTGAGCCCCCAAGGCCGGCTGTGGGCGTGTCCCTGGCTGGGTGCGCCCCCACCAGCAGGGACCGTCACATGCACCTCCCATAGCGCAGCAGGGACTGGAGGCACGTCTTTTCCATTTCTGAGTGAAATTAGAGACCCGGGAGGGCAGAATCCCCCCAGGGCCTGGTTGGCCTGCACTCAGGTGGCAGCTGGGAGGGCTCCTCCTCCCTTGAGTTGTTGCCACAGGCCGTCTGCACTGCGTGCAGCCCCCCTGGGCACCAGGGGACACCCGGGGCGCCTTCCCTGGCGCTTTTGATGTTGCCCCCATCCCCCCTCGCTTGGAGTCATCTGTGTTGCCTGTTGGGTGGTTTTGGGTAGTGTCCTTGCCTGCCAGCTCGTGGAGGGGCCCCTTGTGAGGACTGTTTGACCCACATCCAGGCGGGTGGGCTGGATGGCCAGGCCCCCAGCATGTGGCCTCTCTTGTGGGAACCCGCCACTACCCCCAGCAGAGCCCGAGGCAGGAGCTGGGACCTCACACGGGAGCCAGGAAGGAAGGCAGGGCGGAGCAGGGCCAGTTGCGGGCCTAGAGGTGAGAACTGACTGGTCTGAGAACGAGGACCCCCCCCATCCCCCCCGCAAGAGTCTGAGCCACTTCCCAGCTTCCCGAGCCGCCGACGGCCTCTTCCGCCTTCCATGGGGCCTCTGGACGATGGCTCTTCACACAGGTGCTCGGAACTGGAGTCTAACTCACTCTAAGCTGTGAAGCTCGAGGTCAAGTACAAAATGTCGTGAGTTTGGAGTGAAATACTTAACGGTCTCAGTTTACACGGGCTGCAGTTTCCCTGCCCTGTGACCCCTCAGGCCACCCCGTGGTTTGCAGTTCCGTGTGGAGGAGCGTTGCACAGTCTCCGAGGGGACTGCTGGTGCAGGAGACGGCGCGCCGCCAGCCCTTGCCTGCAGGGCGGCGCTCCTGTTTGTGCAGACTCTTCTGTAGGGGACCCCTCCCCATCTGCACTGGGTCCCCGCCATGCAGGGGTCCCGGGGGCCAGCTTCCTCGACAGCTCGGCCTTGCTGGGGCGGGAAGGGTCACCCCTTCTGAGCACCAGCCGTCCAGGCAGGAGACAGATGAGCATCATCCCTGCCCAGAAGGCTCTGGAAGGTGGGAGCGGCGGCTGGGTTACCCGCACCTGCTAGAGGAGACAGTGTGTCGGTGTAATAACCGCCTGCTGGGGACAGGGTTTTGTTGCTCTGTTTTTTGTTTAAGCGCAGCCTCCGGCCTCTTGCAGATATTTCGGAGGCCTCATCAAGGAGGGAGGGATGCCCAGGGAGTTGGCGAGCTGGGGCGCTGACTGGCAGGGAGAGGCTGGCATGCCTCTGGGTGCCGAGGCTCCTGGGCGAGTCAGAGCCTGGGGGCCTGGCGGGAGGCCGAGTCTGCGGTGTGTCCCTCACGTTCCCGTTTCCACCTCGCCCGTTGTGTTCCGCGAACTGTAAACGTACACATTTGCGACGTCGCGTAATCAGTTTCTGAGACATTGTCCATGATCATTTACAAAATTGGGAGTCCGAGCCCGACGGAAGACCGCCCTGACGGAGGGAGCCCACAGCCCTGGGAGCGTGTAGCCGCGAGGTGTCTCCCGGCTGCCTGTGGCTTGGGAGAGGGCCTTGCTGGGGACGCGGGTGTCCCCAGGGAGTGACATCAAGTCCCACCAACAGAGTGGCTGGTCACCCCTCGAAAGCCTTTCTCTTCCCCGGACGGAGCACGTTGAGACATCAGCTCGAGCTGTCCGCGTGGCGTAGTGCTCTGCGCTCCGCGCTCCGTGCTCCGTCGCGGGCCGCGATCTGTCCCGAAGCCTAATCTCTCTCCTTTGCAATTGCAGAGCCGAACACGGTCAGCTACAGCCAGTCGAGCTTGATCCACCTGGTGGGGCCTTCCGACTGCACCCTGCACGGCTTCGTGCACGGAGGTAAGAACACCGCGGCGCCGTTCGCGCCTTCCCGCTGACCCCCCAGGAGCCCGGCTGCCATCTGATCTAGTTTAGGCTCTTGTGTTTAATGAAGTAGAAGTTTAAACTTTTAAGAGGCTGCATAATAAATTACCGAAATACAGTCGGTGCCTCTTTTTAAAATTGGAAATGAGAGTCAGATGGATGGCTGTCCTGATGGAGGGTCACACACAATGCCGGGACCGTGTCACCGTTAGCTGTTTAGTTGGGGACAGTGGTGTCCCCAGTGAGTAGTGACAGTGTCACCGACTGTTAGTCACCACTCTGTTAGTCACCACTAACAGAGAGTGGCTACTTTAATGTGGTTTTGCCGCTGATGTTTTTATTTATTTCTTCCTTTGGTCAGATTCCACCTTAAATAACACAGGCCTTAAAGTTCCTGGCTCAGGAAGTACAGTGGGTCACAGGGAGGACTTAGCTCCAGGTTCAATTACACCCTAATAGAGTCTAATTGCTTTTGTGATTTGCAGAAAATAGTAAATATACAGGCACTGGCACAGTGCCATTCATTTATGCTCCCTGGAGTACCAGCTCTTCTTTTTTTCTCCTTAGAAAACTCCTATTCATCCTTCAAAGGCCAGCTCAAATGGTACCACTCTGTGCAGGGTTACATTGGTATTTCCACCAGGGGAGGCCTCAGGAGCAAGTCTCGATCTTACTGTCTATGTGGTCTCCAGGGCCCCACACAGAGTCACAGAGCTGCTTTATAGGGGCTCATTCCGTGATCAAGAGGCACAGATCACTTCCAGGCTGAGAAGCGTAGGATAGTGGGCCATGGGATTGGAGATGTATTTTTAAAGTTTGTTTCTTCTTTTTTCTTTTTTTTAGCTAATCTGCTTTTAGGTATATATATATATACATATACATATATATATATATATTTTTTTTTAATTTCCTGATTGTTTTCCTCTCTCAACTAAATGCTGGTGGCAGCGCCCCTAGATGTGATTAACTTAGATCTTACCCAACGGAAGCCGTGCTTCAAACCAGCAGTACCTCCCGGGCGCGTGCGTGCGGTGGCAGGCAGGGCACCTCCGTGCCCTGAGGACAGTGCGGCCTCATGGGCTGTCTTGAACCCTCTTCTTAACCAGCCCTTGCCGCCCTCCTGGAAGTGGGGGGCAGCCCCTCTTCCAAGCCCCGCCCCTCGGAGCCCAGGCTCCCGTAACTGCTGAGAATTGCCTTTCAGCCTCACTGAGCTCCGTCCCGCCTGGAATTGGTGGAACTCTGTGCTAGAATTTTGGCTTATCTCGTCCACATGTTGGAAGTTCGGGAAAGATGGCGTTTCTTCCATTTGCTGTCTCCCCGTTGAAGAGCCCGGGCTCTGCCTTCCCGTGCAGGAGGGTGCGAGTGAGGGAGCTGTCGGAAATCTGGACTCCCATGTGTGTCACGTTCATCCACGCGCCCTGGGCTGCTGCGTCCATTCAGTACAGGCACGGTTTTATAAGAAGGGCATTTAAGGCCTGTTTACGATGGCTTTACAGTACTTGATGCCTATTTTAGTAGGGGGTTTGTGCCCACAAGTTAAAAAAAAAACACACCTAACATTTTTATCAAACGTACTCTCTAAACAGCGTCTAGTAACTCACCAGGGGCAAATGAACAAGGTAAACACTGTGCTGGAAACACGCGCGAGAGATGTGGGACTTGATGGCGTTTTCCTACAGAGGGAACGCTGTCGATACAATGGTGTCAAAACCCCTGGGAATCCAAGCCCCTCTGACCTGTAATTCACTGGGTGCCAAACGCAGGAGAAGCTCATTTGCGGAGATGGGTGCCAATTTGGCTTTTATTCAGTCATCCTCTACTGAGGACGTGTCTTTGAAAAGCCATTCCCTCGCGCCATTTTCTGTGATTTTCACACCCGGATGGTCTTGATCTTGTGGACCCGCTCCTGTCCCACCGCTCACAAACACATGGCGCAGACGCTGACCACTGGCCATGCTAAAACTGGTGGGGCGGGGGGGACGGCCCCAGATGGACTGCAGGACTCTAGCCAGATGCCCGGTCTTGCGTCCTGTCCTGGGTGCGTGGACAGGCCCTCTGGGGACTCACCGAGGGAAGCAGGAGCAGCAGGGAGCCGGCGGGAGGGCGCAGAGGGTGCTGGGAAGGAGCGCGTCTGCATCCTGTGGTTCTGCCGTCGGGGCCTCCGCACAAGCGCCGGCCTGGGGTTTGGCCTCTGCCTTCCCTGAGCCCTGGGTGGGCCCATGCAGGTCCTCTCTGGCCTCCCCACCGCTTCCCCTCGCCCGCTGTTGGTTGTGGCCCCTGAAGGGGTGACTTGCCAGGAATCTGGGGCAGGGGTTAAGTTCATGCCACAGTGAGGACCTTTTCATAAACTCACCTGACACCCATCCTTGCTGAAAACACTCCGTAAGAATAGGAATGGATGGGGGCGCCCGGGTGGCTTAGTCGGTTACGCGTCCGACTTTTGCTCAGGTCATGATCTCACGGTTCGTGGGTTCGAGCCCCACATTGGGCTCTGTGCTGACTGCCAGCTCGGAGCCTGGAGCCTGTTTCACAGTCTGTGACTCCCTCTCTCTCTGACCCTCCCCTGCTCACGATGTCTCTCTCTCTCTCTCTCCTAGAAAGAAATAAAACATTAAAAAAAAATTAAAAAAAAAAAAGAATAGGAATGGATGGTACTCCCTGAACAGGATAAAACGTAGGTATCTGAGCTCTCACGTGAGCATCTTACTCAGAGGGGCATCTCTGAGGAGCGTCCCCTGAGGTCAGGACTAACGCAAGCGGCCGCCCTCTCACTGCTAATTGACATTACTTTGGAGATTTAGTCACTGAGGGAAACTCAGAGGCACAGGGATCAGCAGAACGGAAGTAAAGCTGTCTGTCTGTCCCTGCGGATGGCGCGGGAACAAACCTGGATGACCCAAGAGATTCCACGACCAAAATAACTCAGATAATTAAAGAAATGAATAAGGTGGCAGCATATAGAATGACTGGCGACAGTAGTAATAGAAAAAGTCTGCCTGAAATAGAACTACTTTTCATTGTTTTTGTTTGCAGGTGTGTTTGTTTTCTCCGATGTTTTGGGTCGAATTTTAACTATCATGAAACGTCGATTTCTAGTAATTTGAGGAAATGGTGGGGCTGATTGTGTGTCTGTTTGTTTGGTTTGTCTTTTTAAAGACCTTGTTCTCTTCTTCCCTGTTGGTTCCTGAGATGTTCTCTGCTGCTTTCCTTTTCTGTTTTTTATTTAAATTTATTTTTTAAGTTTATTCGTTATTTTTTAAAATGTTTTATTGATTTCTGAGAGAGAGAGAAACAGACAGCGTGAGCAAGGGAGGGTCAGAGAGAAGGGGAGACACAGAATCCAAAACAGGCTCCAGGCTCTGAGCTGTCAGCACGGAGCCCAACACAGGGCTCGATCCCACAAACTGTGAGGTCATGACCTGAGCCGAAGTCAGACTTTTAACAACTGAGCCACCCACGCCCACTACCCCCCTTTTCTTATGGAACTTTTTCTTCTTTTAAGTTTATTTGTTTATTTGGTGAGAGAGCTCATGCATGGAGGGAGAGAATCCCAAGCAGCAAGCAGGCTTCATCCCGTTAATGTAGACCTGGGCTTGGGGCTCCATCTCATGAACCGTGAGGTCATGACCTGAGCCCAAATCAAGAATCTTAACGGACTGAGCCCCCCAGGTGCCCCTGCTTCTTCCTTCCTCTGGGCTGTTCCCTGCCCAGCCCTCTGTGAGCCGTTCCACGCGGGCTTCCTCACCGGGGAGGGGTGTCTGTGCTCACCACCAGCCTGACCATGACGATCGTGGGGGGCTCCCTGCGGGGAGGCCGGCGTCCCACTCAGCGCAGACGGGGGTGTCCTCCACGCAAATTCTGCACTTCTAAACTTTTGGTGGCCTTGGATTTTTTTCTTCGGCACTTTTTAAAAGTTTTAGATTAATGATTTTCAACCCAGATGTTCTGTGGAAGGGGTCCAAAATGGCTTTAAACAAAGCACAGCCGCCCCTGCCCTCGCCAGCTACTCCGGCTGTGCTTCCGGTGTGTCTGTGGCTCGGTCTCCCCTGTGCCTCTCAGACTCTGCCGGCGTGAGTACCGCCGGGGCCGAGCCAGGCAGAGCGCCGTGACTGCGTTGCTGTGTGGCTCTGGCACCACGGTCCCGCCTCGTCACCTCATCTTCCACCCACTTCGAACCCCCAGCTCAGTCCCTCCCAGCCTCTGTCCCTCTGTAAAATGCTTCTCAGTACCGTGTTGCCTGCCGGGCAATCAGTCATTCAGTATATGTTTCCATGGAGAGAGCGCTCCCCCCCCCACCCGACGAGCCGCCTGCCTGGTCCCTGCACCTGCCTGCATGGCTCTCCTGGGCTCGGTGCTCAGACTCCTAGAGCTTCTAGTTTCCTCTTGGCTGGTTTAGGCCGAGCACGTCCCCCAGTGGCTTCCTGTGAAAGGTGTATATCAGACGGATTAAAGTCCAGCTGCTGGGGGGGCTCCCAGGAGCCTGCACCCAGCACTCACGTCCGCTGGTGGGTGTAGCTGGCCAGACGCGTCTGTCAAACACTGGAGTTGCTATAGAAGAAAGGGGGACAGTCCCTGTGGGGCTCAGAAGTAGTTTATCTGCACTTTGCATGTTTCCTGGCTGGGACTGGCATTCTCTCCCCAGGACTCGGAGGCATTGGAGCATCACCCTACGGCTTCTGAGGTTCCTGTTCAGAAATCCAGCGAGTCTGGCCACACCTCTGCCTGTCCCCTTACCTGGTCCCCACTGCTCAGCCCAGCCTCTGCCCAGGGCCCTTCACCATCTTCCTGCCGGCTGCTCTCCTGAATGACAAATTGTGTGGGTGTGATGTCACCCACTCCCCCCTGCCATGCCTAACAAACCCGCCCTCCGCAGCCACTGCTCTGGATGGCTGTGCCCCTCCCCCCGCCGGGTCCTGAACCCCTCAAGCACCCATTGGTCTGGGGACCTCGGTGGGGAGCCTGCTGCCCCTGAGATG